ATAAATCATAAAATAAAATTATCTATATATCAAGCTCTATTATGCATAAATATAAATTATATATTAATATTATTTTTAATTGATACTATTTAAGTTTAATATGAAATATAAAAGGGATTAATATTGTTTTATTTTATAAAAAATATTATGAAAAATATAAGATTTTTAAAACTAAATATTCTATTTTAAAATATTTAATATTATTTTTAATTGGTTTTAGAAAAAACTAATACAAGGTATAAAATTAATATTGTTTTAGTTAATATAATGTTATAATAACTAATAAAAACTTGGATTTAAAAAAAAATATATTTTTAAAAATGTGATATGATTTTTTTGACATCTTTAAAATGTAATATGGTATGTTTAAAAATATTAGTGAATAAAATTTTTAAATTAAATAATATTAAAAATATTAATTTTTTATTGATGAGATATTTATTGGATACCTAACTAATGGAGGTAGTATTAAGCAGTGAGGTTCTCAACTTAAAATATAAAAAAAATATTAGTATTATATTGGTGAGGATATCTCACCAATGCAGTTGCTCTAAGAGTGTTCATATACACCTAAGTGTCTAGGCCTTAAAGTGTGTATATATACTCTGCTGCTTTCTCTTTTTCTTGGGATTTGCTTGTCACAAATTCTTGTTCATGTGGTTCGGTGAAGGATAAAATAGAAAAATAAAATATTTTTAATTTGTGTGAAAAATTTTGAAAGGATAAGTAATTTGAAATGGAATGAAAAGAGAATGTATCAATTTTATTAATGTTATCTCATCAAGCAGGCTTGGTCCACATCATTTTGTCTTAACGTTTCTTAGATGTTATTGTCATTTTTTTTTTTTAAACTTCTGAAGAACTTTATTACGATATCCATCTGAGATGGAAAACACCATGAAAGTTACAAGATTGAAAATAAACCAAAAACGCATCTCACCCAATGACAAGGACATTCAAGATGTTATTGTCATTTAAGAAAATAAATATTCAACTACACGAACAAATCTAAATAATATTGATTCCTGCCGAAAAAAAAAATTGATTCCTTAAATTTGGATTTATTTCAATCAAATTATTTATGTTCTAAACATATAACAAATTCAAAAAATATAATTCAAATTATTTTTGAATTAATTTATGTATTTTGGTTCAATATATTTTCACCTAAATAACTCAAATCCGATCTGAAAACCAAAACAATCTAACCTAAAAACTTGATTTTCATGTAAACATGTTTTGATTAGCTAATAATTGAACACAAAGCTCCAAAAATACATTACTCAGTTTGGTCTCCTGCCATTTAGAGAGATTTTTTGCTTTGCAAATCTAATATCGTTAAACCAATGATGTAAAAACGATGCTAGTCTTCTTTCGATAGATGATGAAGCATAATATCATCTCGGTTTATATTGGAATAAAGTTATATAAAACAAGTGGCTTCCTCAATCCCAGTTTGTCGAGATCATTAGATCAAAGATGATTGGCCTCGACCAACACGTGGATGAGGACACTTATATATGTTCTTTAAATCTAATGGTAATCCAGTAGATATTCCGATTAATAGGAGAAATATAATTAACGATTCATATAATGCACAAAATTGGTTGGACGTTTACAAAATCAGAAAATTACAGAATCAAATCTGATTAGTGAGTATCACATAGTGGGGCTCTTTGTCAAAACAACCAACATTTCATGGCTTGAATGTTGCCCTTTTGCTATGATGGTTTCTATCAAGTGACATCTAGACGCGTAGGCGTAAAATTACTATTGAATTCCCAAAGAATTGATTGTGACACACAATGCTAAAGATTCAAAATGGAGGAAGAAACTAATAATCATGATTTATTTGAATGCTATCAAGAACATAAACATCGGCGTTGGCTGTCTCAATGTGTTATACCGTCGTTAATTTAGAATACTTAGGTTATCAATTTTTGGAGAATGCCTACTGCAGTGATCCGATTTATGTAACCAAAAATTTTCATGTGAATCGTGTGGTTCCTATAGAAAGTGTAGAATAACAAAGTCTACAATGCAAATAGTGAGGCCCTAGCATGGTGGGTGGCACAACATAGCATGTGTGCCGGTCCAGAGTTCTAATGGACCGCAAGGTAAAAACAAAAAATGGACCATTTTCTTTAAGAAAAAACGTTTAAAAAACAAAACAAAAATAAAAACAACATGAAATTTTGAATTAATGACTTATTCTAAGAGAAATAATGGGTTTTGGCCACTAGATTAAAGAGATTTTTTTGGAAATAAGGGAAGATTTTTTGTAATAATATAAAGACCGCAAGCATGGGTTTAGCACGTTTGCCCTTAGGGCCGGCCCTGTGTGTATATGGTATCTATTCAATACCCCAACTGCTGACAATAAATGAGTATGACCGATTATTGGTTCGCGGAAGGATGAGAATCATTCCCCTAGGTTGGTATATTTATAATACATATGGAGAACTTCTACTACTAAGAGCTAAGAGACAACAACAAAGCCTTTCTCCCTCAACACAAAAAACTATGAGTACTGATTTGACGATGGAGTGTATGTTAATGCATCATGAGGTAGGCCTTTTTCAAACAACGGACTCTTCAAACGTACTTTGAGTTTTATGCAAGATTGCCTCGCAATCAATCTCTTATTAGTTTGGTTCTACTCCACCACTTACTTCAAGACCAACTTAACCCCGATTTCTCATAAGAGAACTAGTTTGTGTACATAAGTTATAATCTAAGAGGAAGAGAATGTGGAAACAAAGCTTATATTATAAGTTTTTATTACAATAAAAAAACTTATAATATAACTCCTCCTCTCTAATTTTGTGATCGATCCATCCTGTGAAATGTTGTGTTCCTTAAACTTCAGCGGCATGGTTCGAAAATTGCATCCCAAAACATGCATTCATATGTTACTTGGTTATGAGAAATTGTTTGCAGACCAGAAATATACTTGCCCATATCTTTCCTTAAATTTTCTGCTTATCACAAACGGAAACAGCTAAAAGTATTTTTGTAAAGCCTCATCATTTTGATATAATTCAACTTTTTAAATATAAAATATGGGTCGTGATAAATTGACTATCATTCAACAATCAACATCAATACACAGACAAAGAGGGCCGAAATGAGTCCGTTAACTAGCTCATTGGACTTTGGTTTATTTATAAATAAGGGTCAAATTCTTAAGCCCAAATTTACTTCAATACCTCCTTCCCAAACCATTCTATATTCACTGCCTGGTTTAAGAACTTTTGCGCTAATACTATTTTGTGTTAGGCCCCCACGTAAGAAACAATAATGGGATCAATCACGTAAGAAACCATATATGTTCACGTAAGAAACAATAATGGGTGCAAATAGCGATGTCTACGGCTAAGTGGAATGAATCACATAAGATGATAAGAAACCATATATGTTTTTTTTGTTTTTTTAAGATGGATGGCCGGCTACGTTTTGTGCCATCTACTTCAATTCTTATTTATTATTTTAACCGGATCTCCTTTTGCATGTGTCAATAAATAAATAAATTGGACACCGCAAACACCATATTGCTTTAAGTTGACGAAAAACCGTTCTTAAAAAAAAAAAACTAATCAATAACTGACTTACATAAAAAAAAAAACTAATCGCCATGCAAGATTATCTGCACAAACATTCTTGCGGGCAACAAAGAATATAATGAAAAGAGTCATACAAATTTTCAAGTTCGCTTAGAAGAGCATTGTAAGGAGAGAATTATGAAAATAGGCCAAAAAAACAATTAATATTAAAAAAATAGGTCATGTTTCTCTAAATTTAAAAAGTAGGTT